CCTCAGTTTCTATGATTTTAAGACTACTACATTAAACACTTACTACATAACACATATTTTACAGAAATTAGGTAACATATATTTGGACATAATTTTACTTCTCAAGAATGGCCCTGTATTATAAAAGCACTTTATTGGCATTAATAGAAACATTACAATGAATGATAAAGGACAGGACTTGATTTCCTTTAAGATGAGCCCTAAAACCATCCCATTTCCTTTCACTTTTTTACTTCAGTCACTGGGTGAATGATTTCAACTTTCTTGTAACCTAAATTAAAATGAACATCAGGTCATTACAATCGCTTTACACTTCTTAGGTGTAGATTGATTCATACAGCCCTCTCAAACACATGATCCATGTTCTTACTAAGTCTTGGCTATTTGAATATTGTACGTTGGTAATAACTCATAGAACTATATTTTTTTCCTTCAGAAAAGACAAGTAGATTTACTATACAAATGCCAGAATACATCAGCAGTTTTAACAAAACAGAGTCAAGGGGCTCCTGGGTGGCTCAGATGGTTAAGCATCCAATTCTTGATTTTTGGCTCAGGTCATAATCTCAGGGTTCATGAGTTTGAGCCCCACATCGGTCTCTCTGCTGCCAGTATGGAGCTTGATTAGGATTCTCTCTCTCTCTTTCTCTCTCTCTCTCCCACTCTCTGCCACTCCCCTACTCTCCTTCTCTCACACTCTCTCTCTCAAAATAAACATTGAAAACATTTTTTAATTAAAAGAGTTGAAAAACATTTATTTTGAAGTTAACTGTCTTGCTAAAGTCCACCAAAACAAAAAGAAATATAATTAGATAGAGCCCTTGCAATTAATCAAATTAACTATATATGGAAAGTAACTCTGTGAAATTAACTATACATGAAGTTTTAAAAAACCTAGTAACTTTAGATTTTACTAGAACACAAGGATAAACATTACATCTGTGCTGAAACTGAACACAAGAGGATACTAACCTGTTGTCAATCTGAACGTGAATATTTTGCCACCTTTCAACTAATTGATCTGCTTTTTCTTTGTGCCAGTCAAAATCAAGGTCCCGTTCTTTATAGGTTTTAAACATTTCATCACTGATGGCTTTAGCTTTCTGCAACTCATCCTCTAATGCATGGAATACCTCTCTCTTTTCATCTACTTCAGACCTCCATTGCTAAAATACATTAATGGGTGAAAATTATAAAAATGTGTCAACCACTCACTAGGCAAACACACTCTTTACCTAATTTTACAATTTATGTACAAATGACTGATATAAAATAAAATAAAGACTATCTTTCATAAACAAAAATAATATATTAGTTTGAACCATATGAAATTATCAATATCTGACTGCACTTTGATCTTTAACAAAAGCAATTTTATAAAGTTCAGCCTAAAATAATTTGCATATCAATAAAACAAAATTAAGCAAGACTATTTCTTAAGTATCTACTAATCTCATTGGTTAAAAGTGAATACTTGCATTAAAAATCAAAGAGACCATTTTTCACTCCTTCGCAATAATTTTATACTCATGCTTTATACATAGAAATATCAATACAGACGAGTACAATTACCTGTCTACTTCCCTTCTTGAATTAACTCCTCTACTTACATCCTTAATGTCTTAACTGCCTCTTTCAGCAAGAGAATCTACTAAAAATAATATAATTTTTAGCTTCAACTCCTTTTGCTCACATGAACTGATTATAAAAAGCTATTATCAAAAAGATGCAAATTTCAAACGAGAAAAACTATCCACAAACTAAAAATGACTCATTTATGCTAAGGTATGGCTACAGAGAGATATGAAATTAAATGAATATAAATATATTCAAATTAAGTTATTTACTTAATGTTTGAAGATCCAGAAGCTGGAGAAATAAAGTATGACCTTATAAAAGAGCCAGAAGTGAGACACATACCTTTAAGGTACTTATTAGATTCTCAATATTATTCTTGTCAGCTATAACTGCTTCCTCTTCACACAGTTTAGTTTCATAGAGTTTTACCAAGGCTTCTGCTGCTTGAGTGTTTTTCAACACCAAATTAACAGTTTTCAGTCTAAAAAAGAGAATGCAACAACAGCTTCCTATTAGTAAATGTTTATTTTCCAATAACACAGTCCTGATGCACCATAATGACGCACGATACAGCTGTTCTTCATCTTGCAGCACTGAGACATTTACTACGAGATCAACATTCAACTAACTCTCTTCTTAATGGAGGGCATGTGCTCTCATGCCCTGCCCTGCAAATGCTCTTTTGCAAGAGATTGCAACATAAGGTGGTCTTCTTTCAAACCTTATTTAGACCAAGCTCTAGAGGAAAAAATACTATGGGCTCCAACAGATGTGGGATTAAAACTATGGGCAAAATGTGGGAACACCTGTCCACATATGCTCTAATCTGAGGCACATTTCCTTTCAATATGAAGCATAATAAATCCATGGAAATATTTAGTACATTTGTTATTAAAACAAAAAAGGGAGTATTTACTTTAATAAAGATGAATGTTTTAAATGAACAGCATGTGTATATAGGACAGTTGTATGAAGCAAATTTTTAAAAAAATTTTTTTAATGTTTATTTATTTCTGAGACAGAGAGAGACAGAGCATGAGTCGGGGAGGGGCAGAGAGAGAGGGAGACACAGAATCCGAAACAGGCTTCAGGCTCTGAGCTGTCAGCACAGAGCCCAACGTGTAGCTCGAACTCACAAACCATGAGATCATGACCTGAGCCAAAGTCGGTCATTCAACTGACTGAGCCACCCAGGCACCCCATGAAGCAAATTTATATTAAGACAGTGGTTACAGGGGTGCCTGGGTGGCTCAGTAGGTTGGGTATCCGACTCTTGGTTTCTTCTCAGGTCATGACCTCACGGTTTTGTGGATTTGAGCCCAACACTGGGCTCTGTGCTGGCAGCATGGAGCCTGCTTGGGATTCTCTCTCTCCCCCTCTCTCTGCCCCTCCCCCACTCACACTCTCTCTCTCTCTCAAAATAAACTGTAAAAAAATTAAAATAAATAAAAAGACAGAGATTACATACTTATCTATGTAAGTGGAAGACATAGAATAGACTTGGTTCATGTTCTGAATGACCACACCGAGCTCAGACCGTAAGGTGGGCACTGATGCAGAGGTTGCTGCTTGACTGAAAAATTCTTCACATTTATTTGTGATTGTTCCCAAATCATCTTTAAGTCGCTCCAACTCTTTCTTTAGTTTCTATAAAACAGAGAATAAACATAGGTATTGGGCTGTCACTCCAGATGGGGCATCTTTCCTAAAACAGTTTAAAAACACACAATTTACATTATAATCACTGACTTAAAAAGCTACATATTCTTTACTTTTTCTTTATCATGGAAAGTAAGCCACAGCATTCAAGTCTCATAATCAGTAATTCCCTTACTGCCCATCTCCTTGGGCACAAATACCTAACTCCGTGCTTCTGCATTCAGCAGGTGGTCAATAAACATATGATGACTTTCACTATGACAAGTCCAGTAAGAGGGTACACATTTCTACATTTACCGGAGTCAAATATAGAACTGAATTACAGAATCCTGCTTCACAATAAGAAATAAACACATAATCAGATCTCACAACGTGACCAGTGGGCAAAGGTGAGCATATGAAGTCACCGGAGTTTGACAGTGAAGGTCACCGAGACAGTAATTTACCTTAAGTTAATTCTGTCCCAACACATTTACGAATCTCACCTCCTGCTCAGTGATTCTGAACACACTTTCATGCAAATCATCTCTTTCCAGTGGAGTGCGGATCTGTCTAATCAACCGATCTTCGCAACTCTCTAACCGAAGTCTAATGTTTCGAACTTCAGAGATGTACAGGTTATACACAGATTCCTCTTGCTCCTCTGTGAACGTAAATGTAACGTTTAGAAAATACCTTGTTTTCCGTCTTCTGGATGCTGCTGTTCGTATCCTAATGTGGCAGTGTTACTACTACTGGGACATAGCTGGTTGAACCACTGTTACCAGGCATTCACCAAAATCTCACCCTAAAGATATAAATCTCGAAACAGTGGACATCACAGTTTATGAACAGTTAATAATATTTCCCCAAAAGTGCCAATTTCTGATTTATTTTTTAATGTTTTATTTATTTTTGAAAGAGAGAGAGTGAGAGTACACAAGTGGGGAAGGGACAGAGAGAGAGGGAGACACAGAATCTGAAGCAGGCTCCAGGCTCCGTGCTGTCAGCACGGAGCTGATGCAGGGCTCAAACCCAAGAACTGTGAGATCATGACCTGAGTCAAAGTCAGATGCTTAACTGAATGAGCCACCCAGGTGCCCCGCCAATTTCTGATATGATGTCCAAGGAAAGTAAATATATTATGCTGTTTTATGATCACAAAAATGTGAATTATATTAGCTGCAGATTAATTTTTTAAATTAAAAATCCTTAAAAATGAAAGGTAGGTAAAGAATTTGTTAATGTTTTAAAAAAATTTTTAATAGATTACTAATAAATTCTTTTGTCTCTAGGTAATATCAAAAGATTTCAGAATAAAATATATATTTAACAGAAGTTAACTAGACACAACCTTTTCCTCTAACCCCTGTATAAAATCCAGTTTGGATTATGGGAACTCTCTGTACCGTCCTCTCAATTTTACTATGAATCTAAAACTGCTCCAAAAGATAAAGTCTTTAAAAAAAAAAATCCAGATTCAGTACATAGAAAAATGACTGAAACTAAAAGATCATTCGGAACATTGCATTACAAAATAGTGACAATACTGGAGGGTGCCTGGGTGGCTCAGTGTGTTTAGTGCCTGACGTTGACTCAGGTCATGATCTCATGGCTTGTGGGTTCAACCGCCACGTTGGGCTCTGTGCTGACAGCTCAGAGTCCGGAGGCTGCTTTGGATTCTGTGTCTCCCACTCTCTCTGCCCCTCCTCTGCTTGTGCCCTGTCTCTGTCTCTCTCAAAAATAAATAAAAATTTAAAAAATTTAAAAAAAAAGAAAGGAAATGCTAAAAAGCAGATGTGTTAAGAATTCACCATTTGTCATATTATTTGGTTGGCATTTTTTAATTAGTTGATCATTTAGAAATAAATGAACCTCTCTTGTATCTTCCTACCACAAACATACTTTTAATTTCTATGTCTGATAGGTAGCGCTGTGCCTATCTATCATAGGTTGGGTAATAGAACACTCCTAAGATCAAGATTCCCACTGACAGCAGAAAATAGCCTGATCTAAACACCTATGGAGGGAAAAAAAGATAAAGATTCCCATGCTTTACCTCTTTCTGCTGATTTAAGAAGTTCTTGATAATACTGCTTACATACATTAACCTCCTTTTCCAGTTGCGTTATATCTGAGCCTGAAAATATTTGGGATTCCTGGCTATCTTCCAGAAAGTCTTCAAAACGAGACTGCAGGTTACTCAGAACTTGTTGATGTTCACCAGGTAACATTGTCTTTATCTAAGGAAGACCAATGATCCATGTAATCAAGTGATTATGGTACTAAGAGCTAAATTTAAACAGGACAGTTCTTAAGTTAGGGTCTCCTGGTACACATCAGTTCATATTGATAGCCATAAATAGAAGAACCATTTGAAATTAATGTTATTCTTAATTAACATTTTTGAGTTTTAAAAGATGAGGAAAAACAAGATTATAAAACATCAAAAAATGAAATCAAATTATCCCATAAGTTCAAACACTATACCCTGTCTCCTTATCAAAATGTATTAAGCACTGAATGAAATGTGATCTCCAGATTTCCCCAATTCTTACAAAGTGCCTGTATACAGCAGGTATGTAACAAATAATCATTAAATGGATGAATATTAGCATGGATCTGCTAGGCTCCATCCTATCCTGTAACAAAAACAAAATTCCACCCCTCGTGCTAATGTGCCCCACATTTTTGGACAGATCAGGCTGATGTGTAGATTTATACTTACTGAAGCCACATTGCTAGCTCGAATTCTATCAATTTCATTGATGAGATAATGCCAGGACACTACACTCTTCATGTTTATGTGAGACTCATGCCAAAGAGTCAGGACATTCTGATACTGTTGCTCAATTCTGAAAAATATGAAAAACAAACAAACACTTAATTCTTTTCACTCCCTCTGAAAACATGCTACAATTTTTCTGTTTGTGAACTATCCCGTGTTTACTAGTTCTAGATCCTTCTGATCCTATGGGCCTTGACAAAGTATTGATTGTTTCTTCAACCTTCAGAGAGCCTCCAAACCCAGTTCTATGTGTTTAGTGAACACATACACACCTGTTTGCAAAGTCAACTGCTTCTTTGTTTGGTGGAGGGACTGTGAAGCACACAGACGGGACCATAGCCTCATTCCCAGTGGGGCTGATGACCTTCCATTTCGCACGGTGAGAATTGTTGGCCAAAACACATTCATCATCTTTGTAAATGGTTATCTGGTTTTAAATGAAGAAAAGAATAACGCAATGAGGTCACTATCAACTAATCCTTTATCATACCCAATCTTGGGATTTTTTGTTTGTTTTTTGAGGTAGAAAACTCTACCACGAGAAAAGCAATATGACCTCATTTTTAAAATATTAAGAATAGGGGAGCCTGGGTGGCTCAGATGGTTAAGCATCTGACTCTTGATTTCAGCTCAGGTCACGATCTCACGGTTCATGGGTTCAAGCCCCAAGTTGCACTCTGCATGACAGCATGGAGCCTGCTTGGTATTCCCCTCTGCCCCTCCCCTGCTCACCCTCTCTCTCTCTCAAAAAAATAAACTTTAAAATAAATTAAGAAATACAAGAATAATGCCAGAAATTGGTCTACTTCTACAATACCTCAATTTGTCTGTAGTCACAGATAGCTTTGATTGGAATAGAAGTTTTGAGTGGACAGTCAGGATTCCTTGGCTTCAGCTGAATTATTGTTTTTGCTCTCCCCATCAGGCTTGCTACTGTGCTTTTATACTGTAAAAGTTCTTCTTTCTCTTCCTAAGTAATACATAAGACAGATATTGAAAAATAAAAGACTTGTACTCTCTCTTCTTTTAGGGGTTTACACAAACAAAATTTCATCACAAAAGTCCCTGACACCTGGTTTAAACATTCAAGCCCTCCCTGCCCCCTCTGGCATCTCTCTTCCCTTGTCTTTATGAGATGTTTTTTTTTTTCTCTCTTTAGCATTTACCACTATGCTACCTATATTTTACTCATTTATCACGTTTATTGCCTGCTCCCCCTCTCACACAGAAGCACCAGGAGTGTGGGGATTCTTGTCTCTTTTCTTCACTGCTCTATCTCCAATACTTAAAATAGTGTCTACCATATACAAAGTGCTTACAGTTATTTGTGAAGTGCATGACTAAACACACACACACACACACACACACACACACACACACCACTATCAAAACATGTATTTAAAATATGAAGGCAATCACATAAAAAACACTTTTGTTGTAATTGTTACCAAAACACAATAAAACTGAATGTTTAAATGCCCGATCAAATGAAATATCAACAGTACCAATAAAATATAAAGTTCTGCACACATAACAATATGATGAAATACTAATCTACTCCTGATTCACATGACTGATGAAATGCACGGGTTCTTGCACTGGTACCATTGACTCCTGAACCAGGTCTTCCAGTTTGTGAATGCTGCTTGATCTGTCACAGCTGTACTTCCGCTGAATGGCGTCCTTGAGATTCTTCAAGTAATCAGTAGCTTCTTTGGCATCATTGAAAAACTATAAAAAGATGAAAACCGGCAGCTCAAGTTTATTCAATGCCAGTCAAGCACAGAGTTGTCAAGTCCAAGTACCAGAGCCCCGTGGACCCCTCATGAGTGCGAAGAGAATAAAATCACAAGACAACTTAATAATCACATTCCTCCTTTACCCAAACAACCACTGTTGAATTTGGATGATTGTCAGTAAATACTAAGTGTCTAAAGCTGATATCTGTATTGTGCTTTGGCCCTACATTATTCTGGCTAAAGCTTTGTTTTACTTGAGGGTCCAAATAATTTATGAGTAGGAGTGAAATTCCAATATTTTAAAATTCCTGAAGAATAAAAAAAAAAAGAGCTCTTTGTAATCACTCTTTATAATGAAATATTTCCTTGTAAAAGGCATTTATAAAATAAAGATTTTCTGACATTTTAAAAGGCTTTTAAAGGATTTCCTCCTTAATACAATGCTTCAGTCTATCCTATAGGACATTTTTCCCATATATCCTACAAAGAAAATATTTCAGTTTCTTTCCCCTGCACATTTTATACATGTCCTTAATAAATAGGGAGATGCTTTCTGTAAATCGGCCCAAATCACGCTGTGATCCCATTCACATACCTCGAAATACGCGGTGTTTTCCTTGATGTGCTGCTCCACACACTGGCACAGCTGTAAGACCCAGCTCCATTGTGTCTGCATTGCCGCTCGATAGGCCTTGAAGATAAAAATCACAGCCATTGTAACTGGCTGAAGAGGAATGACATATACATACGACAAAGCTTTTAAAGGATTAGAAACTCTGCTATCGAAATAGGTGATGAGATCATTTTAACAGAGCAAGACCTGAAAATTAGGGTAGTGAAATGTCCCTCTAATACAAGAGCTCTCACTTGCACAAAGCCAGTCCTAAAAATCTAAATCTAAATTTAAATTAAATCTAAAATAAATATTTTAAAATGCACATAAAAATAGATGGTTCTGTAGTTTTCACTTGTTTTTGTTTCTAAAACTAGGCCAGCAGTTCTTGGAGTCAGGGGGGTGACTTACATACTTGTTTTTGCCAGAGAGGTTTGGGAAGAGTGAAGAAGAGAGAGGGCAATCCTTTATTTCTGTAATTCTGGAACTATAATTATTATAGTACTAGGAATTTTTATTACAAATATTTTCACTTGAATTTTGAATATAAAGTGAATCTCTTGTGAGAGCAAAAAGGTAACAAACAGAACACCTACTTCATAAAGAAAAACATAAAAAACCCTTTCATATTTAAGATGCAATTCACTGACTTCCAGAAGAGGGCGATCTAGATACTTTAATGACTCTTAAGTAAGCCTGTCACGCTTCCCCTCCTGGAAAAAGTTATTTCTGCTGAGCTATGCTCAGGCAGGCTTTCTGAACGGAATATACAGTGTAGGAATGGAAATCTGGCAACATATCACAGTCATATTACCTGCACCCTCAAATTAAGCTACTTTGAGCAAATTGGCTGTAAAAGACATATCATTGTGAGTTGTTAGATTATTAGTTTATTTTTTCACATAACATATGAAGAAGTGTTGATAATTAACTAAATATTACCCACGTGCCCACAAGACATTGGATAGGCCAAAAGAATCATAAAGATGACTCAAGCTTAATTTTATCCCTCAAGAAATTTTTAATTAGATTAGCATTTCTACATAAAAGTAATCAGGTTCACATTCACATTATCCAATCCCATTAAAATTCTTAGCCTGTAATCATATTTCCTAACAGTTTCATCTCTACCTTGAAGAATACTCTATTTTTAGTTTAGTAGCATACAAAAGTATATCCAAATCCTTCGTTATTCTAAAGTGCTTTCCCTAATGCTCCCCACTATTCTTCTAGCTCTTTAACTGGCTCTTTAATTGGCATTTCATCTGCATGCAAGACTCTAATTTTTTTGTTTTTAATGTTTGTTTATTTATTTATTTTTGAGAGAAAGAGAGCACAAACAGGGAAAAAGGAGAGAGATAGAGGGAAGCACGGAATTTGAAGCAGGCTCTGAGCTGTCAGCATAGAGCCCAACGCGGAGCTCGAACCCACAAACTGTGAGATCATGACCTGAGCCGAAGTCAGACGCTTAACTGACTGAGCCACCCAGGTGCCCTAAGACTCCATTTTTCTATGAAGCAGGTCAAATATAACATTCCCAAAACTTCCTATTGAGGCCTAAAATTTCACTAATCTTTTGTTTTGTGGCAATTTCAGTGAACAAAGACTATCAGATTCCTCTCCTCACCTGTGAGAGTTTGAAGCATGTCACATTTTAAGCACAGTTCCATCTTTTCCCTCTGGCAATATACCACATTTGTCCATGTTTGATGCATGTCTCTCTTATATAACACCCCTTTACTTTTAGAAAGTCACTAACTCTAACTAGTACATATTAGGACTAAAAAGTAAACACACTACCACTACCGCACGGGAAACCTGATAAATCCCACACCACTTCTCCATTTCTGGATGTGAAATGTGTGCACTATGCCATGTGGCTTTGACAGACTGTTGTTCCAATATACCTCACAAAACTAGATTGTGAATAAAATTGTTAAGTTAAATAATAATTGTAAATACTTCCTGGGAACATATGTAACCAGAGCTGTACTAAGTAGTAAGAGTACATTATTTGCCTCATCTTACTACAATGCTATGGGTTAGAGGATAGCCCCCATTTTGGATAGGAGGCTAAGTCTGGTTACATGGCTTGCACAATACCACAGTATGAGGGAGGAATAAAAAAAGAGCCTTCATATTTACTATAATACATCCCTTTAGCCATGGGAGTTGACAAAGGTACCTTTATTCTAAGTGACAGGTGAGTAACACAGAAAAAGCAAGAGAGCTAAAGGCAAGAAGCACTATGATTTGTCAGAAACATTATTTTTAAGTCACGTTGTATTAAAAGTTTGATAGTTTGTATTTCTGAATTTATCAGCAATAAAAGAATCTAAAGAGTGACTATCAAATGTCAATATTCGACCATGACCATTACGCTTCCTGACTTACCTCAATTGTCAGTCTGGCTGGGTGATTTTCCGAAAGTAGCTGCTCTGCTATCTCCTGAACTGATTTAATATTTTCTTCCTTTTGATCAAGTTCTCTCATTAATTCCTAATTTAACAAAGAATGAAGAAGTGAGGTTAGAAAAAGATCTACACCTGATATACAACCTTGGCATTCAATGACAAAGGCCATACTCACAGCATGGTAATCTTTTTTCCGAGCTATGTTGTTATTTCTTTCACTCCAGTCATAGGCAACTTCCTCCTCTTCTTTTTCATTCAACCAAATAAGTTCATTAGTTGCACGAGTTACAAAATTATGGAGTGTATCAAGGTGCCGTTCCTGATTCCTGGATGTATTCTTCGTAAGAAAAATCATTGTTAAGAATCATGTCTTTGCCAAATGGAGATAAGGGAAACAGAAAGTAAAAACAAAACAAAACAAAACAAAAAAACACAACTTACCAGGAGTTTTGCATACTGACTCTCTAATCGGTGTAACTTTTCTGCATAAGTTAGTTTAAGAGGTGCCGTCATTTGGATCTATAACATGGGATAAAAAGACATCAAGCTTAGGGATCCTAAGGAATTCTGACTCATACTCACTGTATCTATTATTTTGTTATAGGCTCTTTATATATAAAAAAAAGAGCAAAACAATAGCTAACTAAAATGAAATATATACAGATTTTAAATTCATATACCTCACTGATTTTAGCTTCTTTAAGGCTAGATTCAAATTCTTCAATAGCTCGGTGAACGTTTTTATGATTCTCTAAATGGCTTTCAACACTTGGCAAATCTGATCCCCATTCAGTGCGGTCCAGCTGCACCTTTAAACAGAAAGATACTAGATTTAAAAAAAGAAACTAAGAGCAATAAAGACTAAAGACTAAAACTTTCAGGTAAACATTTTTTTACCTGCATCTCATCAACCCAATTCAAAAGATCTTGAACAAATTTCATGTTGATTTCCTCTTCTGTTAAATTCTGATCCAGCAAAGAAGACTTTAGAAGGGGCTTTCGGATCTGCATCAATTTCAGAGTTTGTAATGAATTGGCCTCTACTCCTGAACTGAAACTTGGAACTAATCCTCCTGATGGGAAACCAGGTGTATAAGCTGGAGTGACAGATGGAGTCAGACGGGAAGTCAGACCTGATGACAGGCCTGATGTCACACTAGAAGGGGTCAGGGAAGGCGTTAAACCCTGGGTCAGCCCTGAGTTCAGACTGGGGTTTAAGGTCTGTGCAAATCCTGAGTTTAAACTTTGAGTAATTCCTGATATCATGAGTTTTGTCTGTTCCGTCGTCAGCATGCGCCCTTTGCTGTACACCGAGGAACATTCATTCCTTAAGGCCATAATTTCATCGCGGAGTTTTGCAACCCTGGAAAGAACATCAGAAGACATAAACTATAACGCAAAAGGCATTTTTCACAAAGTGTGAACTCTAATGCCAACTATGGACATTAGTCAGTTAACAGTAATGTATCAATTACTGGCTCATCAATTATAACAACAGAATCACACTAATTCAAGATATTACTAATTGGGAAAGGTGTGTATAAAGGGGCATAAGGAAACTCTGTATTTTCCAATCAATTTTTCTGTAAACCTGAACTGCTCCAAAAAATAGTCTATTTAAAAAAAAAATCATGGGGCACCTGGGTGGCTCAGTCGGTTAAAAGTCTGACTTGCTTTTGGCTCAGGTCATGATCTCACAGTCTTCAGATTGAGCCCTGCGACAGGCTCCACGCTGGGTGTGGAACCTGCTTAAAAATCTCTCTCACTCTCTCCCTTTGCCCCTCTCCCCACTTGCACGTGCTCACTCTCTCTCAAAAAAAAAAAAAAAAGTCCTTACAATCATACTGACAAAATTTGGCATCACAATGTTTTTCACTGAATTTGTGCAATAAGCACTTTCCATATTATCACATAGTCTTTCTAGTGAACATAATTACTGCACTACAATGTCATCATTCTATTATTTGACATGTAGGATATTTCCAAATTTTGTTATTATAAAAGATTTCTGACATGAACAAAAAACTATTTATTTATTTATATATTTTCTATATTTAAAATTATTACAAATTCCTAGAAGTGAAATTACTGGGTCAAAGCATCATTTACAATTTTTGCTTAATATGTATCTCATATATATATATATATATATATGTATATATGTAATATATATATATATATTATATATAATATATACAGTCTATAACCTGAAAGGGTTCCATTCCCTACCCCTAAACCCACTTCTCAGAGACACAGAATTTTATACATTTTTTTTCAACATTTTGTTATAAATATTTTCATGATAGGATAAATCGATAACTTAAAAAATCAGTTATAAAGGATACTTTCTTATATTTTCCCTTTTTCAAATGTCATACAACTATTTTAACCGTAAGTATATTACTGCAGTATTCCATATTGTATGTGCTATAAAGTATTTCTCTGTTACTTATCTTTGAAAAACAAATACCTATTTAACATCTCAAAATACATCTGAATTAAGGTAACACACATTTTCAACGGAAAGGAGCATAAGAAATGTATTTCATAAAACTGCCACATTCTGCATTCCCATCACAAGTGCCCATGAAGTGATTACACAAAAGGATAAGGTATGAGTACGTAGCAATCTTACCTCTGTACCAACTGATCTGCCTGGTAGTATTTTCCATCAATAAGAATCTGTACATCGATTACATGCTGGCGTAAAAGGTTCTCACATTCAAGTATATACCCGGCAATTTCTGCTTCATTCTGAAACTGTACTCCTGATTCTAATCTTTTAGAATCCTGTATTTTAAAAGAACTCAATATTAATTCTATGAAACAAGTTTCCAAACTAGCCTCAAATATGAAACTCAAAATACTGGAATGCAAAGCTACTTATTAGGTCTTCTCTGTTTTCCCTTTTGGTTCAAAAATATGCTTTCTCTTTGCTCACTCTTCCTCAAGAGAGCAAACAGTGATCACAATCTTTAACAAACTTTAAGTTTCAGTAGAAGACAATACCAAGAATCAACTGAATGTTACACAAAAATTTTATTTCATCCAAAGGTACAGACCCCTCCACCATAATCCCAATGGCTCCTAAAATTAACTTACAGACTGGAGAGCATTTCGGGCAAGTATCAGTTTGTCTTCACAGATGACACTGTCCCTTTGAACTCGGTTGGCAATCTGCTGCAACATTTCCAACCTACAAGAAGGGACAAAATAAATTAAAGCCTTGCCCTTTGAAGTACAGAGTTTACCGCCCCTGAAAAATAATTCCCCACCAAAAGCAAAACACAATCCTACAACGATGATTCCATACCTGTGTCCATCAAAGGATTCATTGCCGAAGCTAATGCAGGAGTTGATCAGAGTTGGACCACAATTAACCGAGAGAAAGTTTTCATTTGAATCAAGACTGGTTCGAGTGCTAGTAGTGTTACTAAACACAGAATCACTGCTACGGTAGCTGTAACTACTACTGTGCATTTTTGTTCCTGAAACGATGTTCTTTCTTTGACCATTAAAAGTAGACTAAAAAGTAGAAGGTCTGCTGAAAGCTCTACTTCTAACGGTGAAAACCACAGCTAAATGTTACAGCTTTAATAGCTCCTTAAATACGCTCCAACTTGCATATTCAACATACAGCAAATAATGTGCTGGTAACCATTAAAAAGAATCTCGCCTAAAGCCATGCGTTTGCTAGCTGAGGTTTGCCTTTTGTAGCCTGCATGAAAACTCTACAAGTATGGACAAGGCAGGCTCATCAGGGCGTCACTGAAAAATATTTGCCAAATATTTTCATCAAGAGTCATCCATTTGCAGTCACCTAAAAAACAACTCAGGTGCCTCTCACTGAAGCCCAGGTACAATTGTAAAGGTTATTCAGGCAATACCAATCACCAGCTTAAAAATACAAATATTCAATCACAGCCGGACTTTTGTAAAGGGCCAGGTCTGTCTCTCCTGGCTAAAAGGTGGTACTTATAAGCACATGTAAACAAGTGAGTTTGATGAGAAACAAAGTACATTTCCATTTTAACCTCTATGTCATTTGTTTATTAGATTAAATTAACTGGAAAATTATCCATTTGCCTTTTTTCACATGATGTGCTCTCAAGAACGTTACTTAATCTTACTACTGTTACTTTACATTTTTAAAAGCCAAAGCAGTATGGGAGCCTGGGTGGCTCAGTTATTAAACTTCAGACTTCGGCTCAGGTCACAATCTCACGGTTTGTGGGTTCGAACCCCGTGTCATGCTGACAGTGTGGAGCCTGCTTGGGATTCTCTCCCTCTCTGTCTCTCTGTGCCTCCCTGACTCATGCTTTCTCTCTCTCAAAATATATGAATAAACTTTAAAAAAAAAAAAAAAGAAAAGAAAAGAAAAGAAAAGAAAAGAAAAGAAAAGAAAAGAAAAGAAAAGAAAAGAAAAAGAAAGAAAGAAAGAAAGAAAGAAAGAAAGAAAGAAAGAAAGAAAGAAATAATGCCAAAGCACTAAAGTAGAAAAATATCAATGCAATGCTTGCAAATTCAACTTGTCTGTGCTTGTTTTTCCTTTTTATAGGTTATTACATGGCAAAAGAACATTGGTTACTTCTCATTTATATTTTACACACTCTCACTGCACATGGTTATTACTTGCAGTTAATAGTTAATGCCAAAAAACTTGCGTCAAGAAAAATGAAGGCGTTTATCCAACCAAGCTCCTAGAGTATTTTCATATACCCAACACTACAAAGCAAAACTGTTGTTTCTCCACTCTAAAGGTAGCTATTTTTCTTTTCAGATGGCAAGAAAGGGGAAATTTGAGAGTATCATATCAAATATAGTTAGTAAGCAGAAAAGCTTGAAATAATAACAGCAGCATTAGCATTTATTAAGCAATTATTATGTGCCAGGAAATTAACTGATCATTTCATATACATGACCTCATCACATACTTATAAGCACCAAATGTGGTAGGTGCTATTACATCCTGTTTACAAATAAGGAAACTGAGGCTTAGAGAGGTTAATGAACTTGTCTAAGATTACACAGCTTGCAAGTTAAGCTAAAAATCTAATCCAGGATTGACTAGCTCCTGGACCTTGAACTCAACCACTGCATTAAAATCCGGTTACTATTCTGACAACTAAAAATCTACTCCATTATCCTTTCTGAGACATACTTTTCCATTACTCCTGATGATTAGTTTAGTGTATAATTTTAATCACGCACAATTATCTCCTCCATAAAAGGTTCACCCTGGGTACTTCAAGCTTATTTTGGATCTAGATCCAGTTATGCAGATAGAATATTATACTTTAACAGAAGTGTAATCAGTATTTTCATAAATGACTGACACGTTAGCCTTGCTCTCATATCTTCAAGGCATTATTCTTTCCTATTTCAACAACACGGGAGTCATGTGTGGAACACAAAGAACTTGAGTACACTAGGCGCTCCCTGTGTCCCAGGCAATGCATTAAGCACTGGCAACACAAAAGACAGCAAAACCAAGTCTGTCTCGACATTCCTGGGGCTCATAACTGTGAACAGGCAGCCCTGACTCAAACGATCACAGAAATAAATATAAAATTACAACTGTGATATGAAAGAACAATACATGTAAATATGAGAGTTATAACCAAGACATCTGAACCAGCGTGGGAGACCACAGGAAGTTTCGTGAGGAAGTAACACTGGAGCCGGGATCTGAGATTGATCAGGAGTGAAGAGAGACATGGAGGATGAAAGAGACTTCCCTGCCAAAGGAACAGATGGTGCAAAGATCCTGTGTATGGAGGAGGGCGGGACCTTGGCACATCAGGGCTCCTGAGAGGCAGCCAGTGTGGCCACAGGGTAGGGAGCAAGAAGCGTGTGGAGTGAGAAGGCCAGAGAGGTGCACCGGACCACACAGGCCTATACTGTGAGGGTCAGCCCCTACAGAGCTCCCTTCCCCAATGCCATACATAGGACAGGCTGTGAGGGAAGTACTATAATGGAGGCAAATCCACTCAACAAATATCTCCTAAGGACTAAGCAGTGCTTTCCCAGGCACTGGGAGAGAGAGAATGGGAGAGAGAGAATGATAAAGAGTCAGTGATGATTTCATGGAATAACTGCGTTTGTGGAAGTAGGAATTTGAACCAGCATATCCTGAGTGTTCTCTAGAGGCCACTTTGCTGCCCTTTAAATGGAGACAGACTCGAGTCTGGATTCCATTGCTCCATGGAAGGATGGCCTTGGCAAAAATATAATAAAAAACGAAGTAAATTAACTGTTGACCTGCAAATGGATCCAGGCCCTGATGACTTAAATATATGGGAAATGCCCACAGGTAATTTAGATTATTAGAGGAGACTTCACACACCAACCCAGCCTAGCATGTCCTATTTGAACATTACTTAACTGATTTACTCTTCACATCTCTTGAATGAGTTTCTGGATAAGAAAATGGGAGAATCAGAAAGACTAAGTGACTTATCCAAGGTCATGCAGCAAAGGAAATGAAAAATGTAAATGTTGGTCCTAGGCCTGCCTGGCTCCAAAACTTAAGTTCTTCCTATGAGAACAAAGAGACCCCGTGCCCAACTTGATACCCATGGCAGAAAACATCCCCAGGCCTACCTTTCTACTTCTGGTCGAAGTGCCTTCTCTCTCTCGAGCATGGCAATAATGAGTTTCCCCCACTCTTTTTCTATGTCATTTGGATGATAACCTTGAAGTAGTTTGATGCGTCCAAATTCTATCCAAATCTTGAGAAAACAAAAAAATGTAGTATGAAGCAAGGATGTAAAAAAAAAAAAAAAAAAAAAAAAAAAAAAAAGATTTATGCTTGACAATACAAAGGAAATTCCTACTTACCTCTAATAATTTATATAGGCGTTTAATTTTTGATTTTTCTGTCTCCTTTGGTGGAATTTCTGTTTCTTTAAACTGTAAATACTGATTATAAAGTGCCTAGAATGAAAGGGAAAATAAATGAAGGCCCAAACTTCAAAGACCTATTTTCATTACCGCACAGTGTACCACTTCAAATCTCACTTACTATGCTATATGCATTCAGTGGAATTGCTTTATAAAACTGACACTCAAGGACAATACTGATTCCCAGCTAGTTGGTGACTAGGTTGCAGAACGCAAGATTTGACAAGGGTGTAATTACTGATGTGCGTCGTGATTTAACATGTGCCATGCAGGGATCTGGATAATAATAAGCCATGGCAGAGTTTAATATGGTTCTAACTAAAAATCTCTCATCATACAAACAAGAAAACATATCTTTTAAAAGATTCACTTTCCAAATGCTGCCCTTTAGCTTTCAGTTTTTGGAAAAATAATCTGATGCAATTCCCAAAAGGAAAAAAATGTTCTCTTCTGTATTATGGATCTATCCTTGAAAACAGAATTCTTATCATATAGATAGGGCTAAATCTTGATTCCAGTGTCCCAGTAAAATGACCCCATGCTCCATTATAGTACTTTAACTTGTTGGCCAAGTTAAACAGATCTTTTAATAAACAAACATAGATGTTATTTGTTGCAGCTATTATTATAGAAGTTTCAACTACATAATTCAATTATCTACTTTGTAGATACTAATTTGAAAATATCTTAAATATAATATTAAAAAGGACCTTCATAAAAATTATATAGATAAAACATATCCACATTAATAAGTATATACAAATTATTTCATTTTCATTCATGTTGTTTTTCTAAAAAAATTCCGTATAAATCTTCAGGCAGGATTTCTGAAGGATTCCTTTCAACGTTTTACTGGTTAATGAAATTACTGGCATTTCCCCATGATGTTTTCGTCTATGTATCATGTGCTGTCCTAGGCACCAGCAAATAATCTGTGTAGCCACTCAAATTTCTTCCAAAACCTTAAGAATTTGCATTAATCAGAAGCCAATACAAATTTACCCAAGTGTCTGGACAATAGGAACCCACTTGGAAATAAGCTAAACCTCAAATCTGCAAATTGCATTGAACTCAAAATGCAATGTTTCAGGACACCCACTAGAAAATAAGCTCGGGATGCCATTATGTTATGTGCTAACCACCATTCCTGGTAGATGTGGTGAAAGAAGGGGGACATCTTTCTGGCCCTGGGAAGTTTTGCCTCCACAAAGGGAGACATCACACAAACAACTTCAGGACACTTAAAAAGCATCATATCAACACATGCCAAGTAACTTCACGCCAAGGACAAACTCCCCATGGCAATGTGAATAAAAACTGTTCCACAGATGTTCTGTACGGATGCATGAACACGATGAATAATTTTAACAGGACCCACCCTGGGTTATTACAGTTTTTGCAATTCCAGTTTGATCAAAAAACAAAGCCTATAATTCAAGGAATTAAGACTTTATTATTAATATTCACATTATCCGTTTCTTAAAATAGAGCAGATTACTTTGTTATTACAAATCCAAATATACAAAATGAGATGATACTCATCAGTAATTTTACATATCTATAATTCTTTTATATTTCTAGGATGTCTTTGCCTCAAAGAGTTGGACCTGTTTTTAGGTAGCAGCAAATGTCTTACGAAATGGAAGTCAGGTATGTGTTTCTCATTTCATGGTGAAATAGAGTATGTGCTTCTTGCTTTACAAAAAGAAACCTCTACAGGAGTTTTTAACAGGGTTTAACCACAGGCACAATCCCAACCATGGTTAAACTTGTACCAGCTTCCCAGAGCCCTTCCTGCCTGAGCCATATGGTGGGTTCCAAGCATTCCCCATGCACCAAAAGCAATTTGGCAATGTCAGTTCCAGGGTCTCTCAGATTATATCTTTTAACTCCCAACAATTCAAAGCTAAGGGACTATAAATTTCTTTAAGGTGTTACTGCTATTATGTTTTCATTATTAACATTTACCTCCATTTTCTTCGAGTAATGGGAGATGAATAAATTTAAAAACTGCCTATTTATTAGTGGCTTGCCAAGGGAAATTTTTCTTGAACTTCTGAAATTATGGAACTATTATAACATTATTTAAAAGTTTAATAATCAAGCCCAATCCTTTGTAACTTCTACAGTGACACAGACCTTGAGTTCTATGGGATTATTAGGAAATGTTCTCTCAGACATTGTGGTCACATGGTGTCTAATCCACTGAATGAGGTAGTTCACCATATTCTGGTATTCGATCCATTTGACTTCAACATCCTGGAACAATAAAATGACAGACAAGATCCATGTCTGCAAATAATAACATTCATATCTAACACAATTTAGTCAAAGGTCATTCTGTGAATGTATATGTCCTTAAGCCGGTCAGTCAGAACCAGCTCATTGTTTTCTCACTTTTCACACAGCCCCACATAAAGAGATGTGAAAACATGCCACCAACATCTGACAACAAAGACTGACCTAATGAGTGTCACTTCTGATCCAGAGATGGTGGCTGCCTGGGGCACTATGTTAAGATGGCTTCTGAGGCTGCATCCAAATGCAGCAGGAAGAAACACTGTAATCATTTTGGGGTTTTCCAGGCACCCACAATGAGGGAGTAAAAGCGTGCACAAGCCAAGTTAGCTGCTATGTCCTCCAACCTTTCTAGATCTAAATCCACTGTATACCTGAACTCAATGGTCTACAGAGTATGCAGGAAAGCAGACAGAAATAAAAATTATAGAAAATGTATGTGGTAGGATTACTCATTAAGCAAACCTTTTATAAAAATGGAAAGAAACTGGAAGGCTGTCACCTGCTCTGTTGAATTAAAAGTATTTGACAAGTGCTTATTACATTCAAAGCATTATACTATGTGTTGTAATAAGAATTTAATACTTTAAGACATAATACCTTTTATCAAAGAGTTACTGTCTAGATAGGGAGGCAGGAGAGTCATAATATAAACAGTTAAGCAAAATGAAAAGCAGTAGTTAATTAAGTGCTGAAATAACTGAAACAGGTAGTATATGATAAAGGCTGAGATAAGAATCAGGTCATTATATATGTGCCTCAAAACAATCACCAAGGTATTCTTGGGAGAGAAGTCCTTGAGCAGTTCTGCAACAACCAGTAAGTGTTTGGGGGCGGAGGGGAGGAAGAGATAAAAGATAGGGAGCCCAAGTGAGTAGGACTCTGAACTAGAAATGCCCTGGCTACCAGCAAACAGCCTGTGTTGAAACACTGTAGCTAAAAAAGGAGGTACACAGAATTTTCAGTGTCAGAGTATCTAGGCTGGACTTCGTAATCACTGAACGTTTTCAAGCCAAAGACATCAGGTTTTAGGAAGATCAATCTGATGACCGTGTGCAGTGCTGATGGGAAGAGAAATAAAACAGAGGCAGAAAAGTGTAGAAAAGCTGTCATCCTAGTAAGGAGTACGAGGCAGGAATGGGGTGAAGGCAGGGAGAAGATAAGGCAAGGAATGGCCACGAGAAACATTCTCAAGCAACGCTCAACACTCAACTGTTGGCAGACATCACAGTAAAGGATGAGCAGGAGAGCAAGTTACTCAGGGATCAGAAGACGATACACCTCTGAGAGAAAGAACAGGGAGAAGAGAATGGAAGTAAGTCCAGAGGTGAAAAAGATGAGCTCCAAAATCTTCTAAGTAAATTAGGAATAAAGGCATCTGCAAGGGAAAGAGTGAGAAGTCCAGGGTGAAGGGGCTCATCCTCTAACGCACAACTGATGGTTTCCCGTCTCTTCCAGAAATGCTTCCATATGTGTTCGTATGACCACTACAAAATGCACCGTTGAACTGAATTACACAAATGTTTGGGAAACAGTGGACAAATGAGGAGCCCAAAGCTCTCTGTACCACACTTCACTCTGCTTATGAAGTAGCTTGTTAATTTGGCAAAATCAAATAACCTTCCTCTAGATAATCACCTTTAAATCAGAAAGACAATTCCTAGCCAACTTATTTCATGAGATTATGAGAATTAGTAACATTGAAAGTGATCTCAGGGGTGAGATATTCTGCAGATACAGAAGGACATCAAACAGAGCAAATATAAAACAGCAGCAAGTTAAAAAGGAAAAACTCCAAAATGCGGTGCTTTAGAGCTTTTAATTATAAAATTATATGTAACTCTAAACAGCTTACTTTATGACACAGAACAAATTTTTTTGAGTTATACTTTAATCATAATGGTAGAATAGTGTCATCAAAATGCAAACAGTACTGGTTCATTAAATAGCATCTTAACTCAAATTCTTTAAAGAATATTTCACATTTAAATACTGTAAAAAGCTCTATCAAAGAATTCAGTTAACTGGTCATTAATTGGTCATTACTGAATCCGCAGCTTCTAGTAGGGAAAAATCAATACTCACATTTGCACCAATGCCTTCGCCACCTTCAGGGACTTTGGGAAATGCATCATAGAGAGATGACACATAAGTTATTACTGATTTTTCATCAGGTGAGGAGACATCAACATCTAAAAGCAGCCACATAAATTATTTCAAAATGTTGACAGATTACTTCTGACCAGACTTTCATGCCAGTCTACATCTAGTCAGAACAACTCACCTTCAGGATCCAGAAGTCTTATAACTCCAATTTTTTCTGCTACATAAAAAGCGTGCTCTAAATTTGCAAGGTTGCTTTGAACAGCAACAGTATTCATGTCTATCAGGTCCGGCCTAGGAAAAAATTCACTGCAATCAGTTAAGTTTTCTCACGTGCTAATTCAACATTACACGAACCTGTTTATCTATTTACATACCATCTCTGCAAATACTAATACTAAGCCTATGTTGAAATACAGAGATTTTCATCAAATATTTAACAATGCTTACTTTTCTCAGAAACTTTTGTGTGCTGGGGTGCCTGGATGGCTCAGTCAATTGAGGGTCCAACTCCTGGGCCATAATCTCACGGTTCTTGAGTTTAAGCCCCACATCAGGCTCTGAGTTGGCAGTACAGAGCCTGCTTGGGATTCTCTCTGCCCCTCCCTCACTTGCTTGTGTACTCTCTCAAAATAAATAAATAAGCTTAAAAAAAAAGATTCTCTCTCTCTGCCCCTCCCCCGGCATGTGCTTTTTCTCTCTCCCAATAAAAAAAAGAAAACTTTTGTATGCCAAAACCAAGTGTAGCAAGGAAATTATAAAAAGTTGGTAACTTTCAACAAAATCTACAAATTCCTCATAATCATAAACTCTACTATTCCAACAGCATCCTTCCAATCCAACTAGCATCCTCTCAGTTTCTCCCCAAACACAAACGTTTATGATGAATTCAATGCTGCTTCCTTGGCACCCACCGCCCAGTGGACAGGATGCCATGTGCTGTGATTGCTGTCGACTCATCTTTGCGAGCACTATCATCCTTTGTGAAGCCTTCACTCATCTTCCCAACCTTCATTTTTCTCTCTGTTGCCTGAACTCTTTACAGACTCCTGGGCCTGTGCTCGTCACTTTGGCCCTTAGAATAATCATACACTTCCCTGCCCTACTAATTCACTATTTAATGTGCATGCACATCTTGCTTCTCACAACTGGCTAACTCTAAGTCAGCAAGAACCATGTATTAATAAACTTTTGTATTTTATCCTTCTGTTGAGACAAAGAGTGACAAAGATTTAGCAGACAACAAATATCTAGCAGTAAGTTGGTAAGTAGGTTGGCTAATTAGTAATTTGAATCATAAATGAAAGACTAAAATAAGCACTAGTTTACATCTTCACAAGCATCTATGTGCATGCCCATGTACATGCACACAGGTGCAAGCACGCACGCACGCACGCACACACACACACACTCATACACCAGACTTCAACCCTTTCTATTTTGTGAGACTTGCATGTTTTACTAAACCACAGGGATACTTTAAAGCTATCTCTGTCTATATACAAGACAGGAAAAGGGAAAGACTTCCCAAATACTCCTTGCATAGACAGCGGCAAAATGTGGTAGTTGGAAACTTAACACAAGGCCAAAAGCCAGTCAGGAAATGTTCATCTCAAAAGCAAAGCATTAAAAGAATGCAAAAACAGGGGCGCCTGGGTGGCGCAGTCGGTTAAGCGTCCGACTTCAGCCAGGTCACGATCTCGCGGTCCGTGAGTTCCAGCCCCGCGTCAGGCTCTGGGCGGATGGCTCGGAGCCTGGAGCCTGTTTCTGATTCTGTGTCTCCGTCTCTCTCTGCCCCTCCCCCGTTCATGCTCTGTCTCTCTCTGTCCCAAAAATAAATAAAAACGTTGAAAAAAAATTAAAAAGAATGCAAAAACAAATGTGGAAACAGTAAAGCTCAAAAAGAGTGGTACCCACCCTCAAAATCACTAAGAACCCACTCTTATCAAGTTCTAAGGCTGGCTCTTAACAATGTCCCACAGACATTCTGGTTTGCTCAGAATAGTCATCTGGGAACTGCAGAATGAAGTGGGAGGGCTCAGAGGTCATGGAGAAGGACTGAAATGCAAATTATTTTGAATACTACTTGGAAAGCTGTTTACATGAAAAACTCTTAGGAAGGTAAACAACAATTTGTAGTCTTCTTTTTATCTGATAAGAAAGCAGACCTCAAAGAAATCTACTTACAGTTTTACAGAACTTTCAAAGTGTTCAGAACCTTGAAATGTAGCCGCCATGACCTACCTACCTATTTCCCGGGAAATTATTAGCAAATTTGTTAATGTTTTTCATATGCACCAACATGATTACTTAAAAGTGATCCTACGTTTATTATAGGAATAATAAATCTACTGACAACAATAGAGGTAAGTGACATACCTCTAAAAATAATATTTTTTACTCCCAAAGAAGTATTTTTGAAGAATCTGCCAACTTCAAGATTACTAAACAGGTGAATTTAGGTCTAGACAAAAACAAATATCTAAAGTTCAAAAAACTGTTTTGCTTCCATAAAGTTCACACATTTTGAAGAAATAAAAACCAGCCTTTCTGGGTTTGCCAAATCTCCCAACAAGAAAGGGCATGTTGTTATACGAACCCTGCCATTAGCAAGAAAGTAAACAGTGAGTAATCCCAGAGGGAATGAATAAAGTCATTGAAGAACCAAGTTTTTGACTAAGAGAATAAAACATAAAACTTCCTTCAGAATGACATAGTCATTTCAGCACAAAGGCAGCTGTATAATACACTGAGTTGAGATAAGTCACCTCTTTTATCATGATATTTAACACTTTAATGGAACAAAAAACGAAGTGACATTCCTTTATTAAAAGACTGCAGTAGACAAAATTAAAAAAAAAAAAAGAAAAAAATTGTAAAACCACTATGAGAAATGAACAGCCTGAACGTTTTCAAAATCCTATCCCTCTCCAAACTCATCTCCTAACCATTCAGTCATTTTCAGTCTTCTACTCTGCCTTTCCTCTAGCTGTCTGGAGCTTCCAGAAGAGGCTTGTGTTGTGACCTATCTTTCTTCTTCTTTACAGGCTCACTGGGATCATATAACCTTTTAAAACTTTAGCTATTTTCCACCTACAGGTTTGTATTTTCATTCCAAAGGTTTCATTCCAGCTTAAGATCTCCTTTTTGTGGAAATTTAATAGGAAATTTCGTTCCCATTTTAGGTTTGACTAACCCAAGTCTACACTACATTGTAAACAGGTACAAGGCAACAACCATGTTCCTATATTGCATTAATTTTTCTAGTTTCCCTATTTTCTTCAAACCTTTCAAAATCATATAATGTAATACTCTGCCACTGAAAGTAATATATGTTAGTCTTTTATGGGAAAAGGGCCGTCCTAACTCTTAACTTGTGTCATTATTCTGGAATAATATAATCTTTTCTGAATGACTCAATGTTCATAGATAGCACTTTTAAAAAACATACATTTTTATCCTACTTTTTTTTTCCATAAATGATTAAAAACAGCTTACAAAGAAAAACACAAGAAGATACCACAAAGTAGGGACACCTGGGTGGGTCAGTTGGTTAAACGTCCAACTCAGACCATCTCATGGTTCATGAGTTCTCAGCCCAGCACTGGGCTCTCTGCTGTCAGCACCGAGCCTGCTTTGGATCCTCTGTCCCCCTCTCTTTGCCCCTCCCCCACTCGTGTGCTCTGTCTCTCAAAAATAAACAAACATAAAACAAATTTTAAAAAAAGAAGATACCACAAATTATATAGTGTGAGTATAAAATCAAGATAAGACCATAAGATGAAACTGAAAGCAAAGCCAAAAGTGCAAAGCACTTGTATGCATGCTTACTGCCCTTAATTTGTTTAAAAATATAGGACCAAAAGGTCTCAAAGTGGCTATTGCCATAATTCAAAATAATTTTGGATAAAAGTAATGTTTATCTTTCATATAACACCCATGTTAAAAGGGCATTCTCTCTAAACAAAAAAATTATACAATAGGCTACACTCATGCATACACACACACACACACACACACACACACACATACACGCATACAAAACTGCAGGCATATATACATGTATATGGGCATTTTTATTTATGTTTATATTTATATACACATATACACACACATATACATACACACACACACAAACACACATGTATAGACAGACATATATTTTATATATGTTACCACCCACATTAATAGATAGCCAAACTAACAGAACATTAAAACTATGTAAGATATTTTTTGGTACAGACACCCCAAAGTAACTTTTCAGTCCTCAAATTCTTTATTATTATATTAGCTCACATGAGAATTAGATAGATTCTGAGAGAAAATTTGACTTATGCAGTATTACAAATGGCTAAAGATTAGCACAAGACACTACCTAAGACTTCCACGTTACATCATGCCAAACACTGAAATGCTCAACTACAAGGAACATGAAACCAAGTCAGAATACTTAGACTTACAAACGGCCATTGGAACATCCTTGAAGGTACACTGATAAAAGTCAGCTAAGAGAAGAGAGCATTAGTGCAGACACAAGATTAACAAATTCCGAACCAAAAGTATGATAATGGCTGCAAGGACAGATCTAACATTAGTAGTCAGAATCCAAATCAGGATGTTTTTTCAAAGCATGCAAAATTTATTTAAATTCATAGGGTTTACGGGGTTGTGTTGGCTCTCAATTGGCATTCAATCACTATTTACTGTGTGAGTATAGATGTAAGTTTTGGCTATCCAGGATCTGAACCCTCTTGAGAAATTTTCCCTTTTAGGAATCACGACAGAAAGAGAAATGAGCAGAGTCCATTTCTCAAAGCAAAAACACATTGGGTTTTTGTCTCTTTCCTTTGCTCAACAAATGTCCACTGCATACCTCACCCCCATACATGACACGACCTGATCAACTCAGATTCTTCCTGTAAGTCTTGCTTTTCTACATTCCCAGATGCTGTCTACTATCCTCATGTGTGTATTTGCCACAATTCATTCTAACTCTGCACTTGCCTCTCACAATGGACAGCAGGCTGCCTGAAGGGAGACCTTGTTTTAGCCATGTTTGTATCTTCAATATCTAGCATGATGCTCGGCACACGAATATTTGAAAAATGAATAAACTATAAAGAAATGAATAGCTTTGAGGACTGGAAGGTACCATCTGGCACCTGGTTCAAATTCCTGATTCCTAGGTTTGTTCCTTTTCTTTTTGTTAATTTCTACAGATAAAGCTACCATCGATAGCTTCCAATCAGGATTTCACACCCTTATCAAAATCCACATGGGACAGAACACAATGC